CTGTTGCCCACATCATTTGCAATTCTCATTTTTCTAGCCATTATTATTTTTTCTTAACTGGGTACATAAATACTGCACATATTTGGGGTATATTAGTTAAGTTAGTTTATTGAGACAGGGTCTTGCTGTACAACCCAGGCTGACCATGAACTCTACCCTGGCTCTGCCTCCCAAGTGCTGGGATTACAGGCATGCAGTATTATGGTCGGCCCAGGTTTTGGTGCATGTATTTGTTGTGTGATGTTTAAATTAGTATAAAACATCTATCTCCTCAACAGTGAAGACATTTAAAAATACTCTCCACTTCTCACAAATGCACTGCATTGTCAGTGTTTACAGCTACCTCACTGTTCAAGAGTACAGCAGAACACCAAGCTCCTGAGTGCAGCTTAGGACCTGTCCACACCCTTTCCCATCCTCTCTCTGCAGCTCTTCCCAGCCTCTCCCTACCACCATTCTGCTGTTTTTATGAGCCTGGTAGCTTTCAACATAGGCAACATATTTGTTTATTATCCTCTGTATTTTTTATTTGTGTCTTGGTAAATTACCAAATTGCTAGGATTTTTGTTTATGTTAATAATCAGAGAAATAGTTCTTTCCTTTAGCCTTAGAAAATTATTAACATATCCCTAAATTTAGAACTACACTTTAGATGGGGCAATTTTGGTGTGGATTCGTATTTGCTGTGCTGGGGACTTAACCCTTCACCTTTGCACTCTACCACTGAGCTACATCTGTATACTAACTGAAGTAATCTAGAGTTGCAAGTTGGCGCACATTGGCAGCAGTGACCATTAAATTGCTTGCCTGGGGGAAATCTAGTATATTTCTGTTGTCCTGAAGGACTTTGCTTCTTTCTGAATCCTTAACAGAAGTTGTGTGTGTCTTTTTCTGTCTTTGTGTTTGTGCTGTCAGTCAGTGTTTATTGAACATCCATGAAAGGGGAAGGACCAATAAAGTGCTGTGTGACGCCGGTGACTGATGCTTCCTGTGTTTCAGATGTTGGCTTTTGTGGCCATTCTCATTTGTCTTTGTGACCTGTTTGTTCTCTTCTTTTGTCTTTTTTATTTGCTTTCAACTACAAATGTCAGTTGAGGCTTCACTTAGGAACATTCATTTTTTATCCTGGGGGTTCATCTACATTGATTTTTCTGGTCTTTTTGAGACAGGGTCTCTCTGTAGCCCCAGCTGTCCTAGAACTCACTATGTAGATCAGGCTGGCCTTGAACTCACAGAGATCCGCCTGCCTCTGCCTCCCAAGTGGTGGGATTAAAGACGTGCGCCACCACACCTGGCTAAGCTATCTCCATATTTTTAATCCTAACATTACAGTGCTTACAGAAAATAACCAGCCAGCTGTTCTAGTGCCAGATTTTTCAAAAGATTGATGATTGTCTTTTCAAAGTGATTTGTCAGGGCTGGAGAGATGGCCCAGCAGCTAAGAGCACTGGCTGCTCTTGCAGAGGACCTGGGTTTGGTTCCCAGCACCCACGTGGCAGCTAACAATCATCTAGAAAAATCCATTTCCATGGGATCTGTCTCCCTCTTCTGGCCTTCGTGAGCATCGCATGACACAGGTGCACTTACATACATACAGGCAGTAATACACTTACACACATTAAATAACAATGAAAACAAAATATTAAAAAAATAATAAAAGTAAAGTGATTTCTCCTTATCCTCTGATTTCCCTGCTCAAAAGTCAAGACATCTCCTCTGCCCTTTGTCCACGTACCTGCTCTGTGTTCAGAACTATTTGCTTGGTGCTTTGCTCATTCCAGACTTTGTACTTTGCCAACACCACCACCTGTACAGCAATCCTTGCCTTTCCTTCTTCAGAGCCTAATCCTATCTTTGTCATGTGCCTTTTCCTTTGGTTGACGTACACATTTACTCACATTGTCATCAGTGGTTCTTAACTTACTCGAATTAGTGAAGCACTTGGGCTGTTGAACTTCTGGATGAGAAAACAAGATAGTGGGAGCTTTGAAGTGGAAGGAGTAAAACTCAGAACAGAGTAGTTTCAGCTGCACCTTAAAAACTGCACTAGTAATAATTGACCTTAGGGGTTTCTGTAAATATGTGGTTGTCTAAGAAATGATTTAATCTCAGAACTTAACGACATTGTAGAGTCTACAGAGACAAGAAATGGTCTTTGACAAGGTGATTAGAGGGTACCCTGGGTTTTCCTTTTAATTTAGCTGTCTCCATTTGTAATCCCCAGTGTTTGTTCCCAGAGCCACCACTTTGATTTCTTTTGGCTCCTCTATTTGATATTTTCTTTGACTTTCTACCATGAAAGATGAGAATTTAGTACTTTTTGTTCCCTTCATTTCATACACGAATATACTATTTCCTTCCTCAAATTTCTCACAAAGAGTTTGATATTGGTGTTTAGAGCACTGTGTTTATTCAGAATTAGTATGCCAGTTCTAAAGTATGATCCAGGGAATCCACGGAGCTTCCTAAGATGGGCCCCAAGAGATCTTAGACACTTGTTAAAGTACTAACATGTTTGTGTTTTTCACTTTCATTCTTTGACAAGTATATATAGAATTTTCCAGTAGTTAGTTACCTGTGATCTGTCTTGTCTATACATTGGTAGCTAGTAAAATGTCTAATTGTATGTTCTTGTGAGGTTTTGATTTGAGTTTTTTTTTTTTTTCCTTTAGAATTTTCTGGTTATCAAAGAACTTTCCAAAGTGTGAAATAGTGCCCCTCATTAAATAGGTGGTCCTAAAAGGAAAGGTTATTTTTTTCATTAAAAACATGTGTTAACAATCAGGTGTGATA